GATGCCTTTTCTAAATGGGTAGAATTGTTCCCATCAAAAGCTGCTGATGCTATTACAGTGGCAAAAGCATTGGAGATTATACCAAGATTTGTGACAATAGAAATTATTACATGAACCAAGTCATATCAAGCATAAGCCAAAAGATGAAAATAAATGTAAAACACCACTGTGCTAAAAACAAAAGAAATACAGAATTCTAACTCTATGCCAGATACACCTATATCTTTGCAGAGTGACGGTACGCCAATCCAGGTCAGCGACTGGGTGCTGATAAAGGTCATCAAAAGGAAGTGTTGGTCGAGTCCAAAGTGGGAAGGCCCATACCAGGTCCTGTATTGGGGCTAACCATAGTCCTGCAGACATAAGATGATTGACAAAGAGAGTGCCAAAACCATGGCACCCATTCCGTAGATTAGGAGTTCCAATGCGACTCTGTGTGTGTATTGATAGTCGCAGGAGTCGTCCTGGTGCTGCCTATCGTACTCACTCTAAAAGACAAAGAGCTACAGAAAAACACTACCACCACTGACCACCCATCAATGATGAAAAATCCAGCAGAGACAACACCATTTACACAATAGAGTAAAAAGAGAAAACACTGAAGCAACGAATGATTCTAAATGTTTAAATAACTATGGTGGTATCACTCTTGAATATATATCAGGTAAGACAATGGCGATCTGTGTTCAGTAATTAATTGCAACAATTGGAACTACACTTACAAACCTTATGACTTATATGTGTTTTTTCATTATTATGTCCATAGCCCGATGTGAACAGAATCAGCTGCCCCGTAGAAGATGGTGTGAAGATTGGAACATGGTAGTAGGATATACAGGTCAATGGATTCCCACAATGTCAGATAAAAATGTGTACAGATACGAAGACATTTGGAATCAATTGAAAATCCAACGTGATTTTTCCAACATCCAAAATCTGATCACTATGGAATTGGACTAAATTACCAATGGGGAGTAATATGAAACTCTCTGGTAAAACAAATCAAACTGAAATATATTTGGTCCTTGGAGTAGATCAGACTGGAGTAGATCTAATCGGATTCATTAGAGTAGTAATTAGGAATGAAATAACGAAACATGACACAACTTTGTTGACACCTGTAACTCAATCTTCCCACCAATTTCTAATAAAACCAAAACAGGAACATTTACTCCTCATAAAGGCAAAGGAGACTGTGTGCTATGAAAGTGAATGTGTTGTGAAAAACCTAGCCTAAGGAGCCATAATGCAGGATAAGAGAATTTGGCATTCATCAATGATAAACAGGAGGGAAATGTTGGAAGAATTTAATTTATTATCATTGCTTCATGCTGTACTGTCGCTTTAAGAAACTGTTTGCTTCTCATATTATAATCTAGTGTGCTCAAGACTGATGGTGCAGCAACTCGGAGTTGATGAGGAAGCTGCCAGAAGAGCAAAATGCACTCTCCCCTTGCAAGTAAAAGATCCAGACGTCTTTTGTGTTGTTACTTTGTCGTCACATATGTTAGAATAAACCTAACAGAGAGTCACAAACGAAGAGACGAGGAAGGAGGAGAGAGGAGACTGTCCAGACGTTTGTGAGTGAGTGAGTGGGGGGGGGGGGGGTGAGGAGACAGGGAGAAGAGACTGACACATTGTGTATTTCACACACTCCGTAAACCTCCGTTCTCAAACCCTCCTTCGCTGTGGCACAGTCAGGATGGGGGATCAGCGCGCGCCCGTCTTCATAGGTTTCTCTGCAGGGAGTCACACCCAACTTGGCTTTATTTAAGAATCACGTATTTAAAAAAAAATCCGATTTAGGTTTTGGGTTTTTTTGTGCCTTTTTTTTCAGGTGCAGTCGCCTGTTTTGGATTATCTAAAGCCGCCTGGACCGTGAGCGTCCAGTGCGTCAAGTGAGCGCACGTTTCCAAGTGGATGTACGAGTCAGAGGAGAAAAAAAAAAAAAAAAAAAAACCCTTGGACTAAAAACCCCAAACTGTTGA